TCCAGAAAGTCTCAGGAGCAAGGGGATCTTTTTGATAGTCCTTGACTTACAACAATTTGTTTAGTGACCGTTCAAAGTTACAATGAAAAAAGTGACTTACAACTGTTTTTCACACTTACAACCATTGCAGTAGTTCCCCAGTCACATGATCAAAATTCAGATGCTTGGCAAATGGTATGTACCTATGCTATGATGGTTGCAGTGATGTGATGGGTCATGTGATCACCTTTTGCTACATTCTAGTCAGCAAAGTCAATGGGAAAGCCAGATTCACTTAAAATCACGTTACTAATTTAACTACAGCGGTGATTCACTTTAACAACTGTGGGAAGAAAGGTTGTAAAATGAGACAAAACTCACTTAATTGTCTTGCTTAGCAGCATAAATTTTGGGCTCAATTGTGGTCATACGTTGAGGACACCATTAGTAGAATGATGTCTGCACAGTTGAAAGTCTTTTGGGGACTTGGGGGGCAGGGTCCTCAACCCACACCAAATTTCTTCTGACAAGGTTTGGAATATCATTGGCAAGGACAGATTTATCATTGCAATCCAACTCAGTTTATTATGCACATATTCTGGAAAGTATTTTAACTATTTAAATCTCACTGCCTTAAAAGGGATGTAAATGTGCTGCAGATTTGTAGCTGAAAATTGTTAGTAATTCGATAAAGTGTTAACAAATATTAACAAAGTTATTAATAAAAGACCTGCATTTATAAAGTATAGGAAAAGCTTTTCTCAATCACATACCATCTAGTCAGGATATAAATTAGAATACTAATTTAAAGAGTATAAAATGACATCACCACCAAAATAGCCACAATGACTATTTAATTCAAGATTTAAGATGTTGCTTCATCTTCTAACTCTTTTTTTTTTTTTTTTTGGTTCCATCTAGTTTGGTCCAGCTTTTTCCTGCACACAGGAGTAGTTTGGGGGAAGGGATGTGATAGGAATGATCACAAATTCATTAATATAACTTGCTTTCCTATTATTAGCACCATCTGAGCCTGTTGAAAGTCTTAACCAGGGCTTTAATTTTCCCCAGGGGAGCTTTAAATTAATTAGTAGTTTACACGCTAACAAAGAATCTGATACATTCATAAATCAATCTAACTCAAGGATTTTAAAAAGGAAAGGAACTAAATCAACCGGGACCTCATATTCAGTTAAAGTGTTGTGCTTTTACAAAAGGGTGCAGGTGTGAATTAGATGAATATAGAGCAGAAGCCATGATAATCACTTTGTATCACTTAAGCCCACAGCAGGGACCACAGCAAATAAGGACTTCTGGCCTATCTTTATTGAAATCTATGCCAACATGAAAGACTAATTGAAGAATTGATTTGGGTTTAATTTTTATGAAATAAAGATCTTGACAGCTGTAATTTATACTACAGCCTACAAAATAAAAAAGTGGTAAGAATTTATACAGGTTAAAGGAATACATCTAGACATTTGAAACACTTCATGTAGACAAAGACTACCAAACAGAAAAAAATGATTTGTGCTAAAATATAAATCATGACAAATTCCCAATTATATGCATTTGTCTTATAGCTAGAACTGTGTTTAGAAAACGCAGGGGCGATGTCCTATAGTCATCCCAATGTATTATCAGAAGTATTTCAGTGTAGATCTCACACTGCGATTTGCAGTATTTCTTTATCATTCCTAAGTAATAAACCAAAATAATTTAATCTACAGTATAACTCTCTTCTACAACCTTGGGCGAGGATCCCCATGACCACTATAGTTGTGCATGGCAATAAAAGACACTTTGTTGCATACATCTCAAATCCCTCCGGTTCTTAATTTAAGTGGACATTTTTTCCCACACCAAAGCTGAATACATTTATTGTTGTATCATGTTTTATAACAGAATGTTTTGTGACTTGAAACTACTAAATAGTTTTTTGCCTCTCTCGTTCTTATTACCCTTTTATTTATTTATAATGGTTCTTGAGAACTGTGGAGAGATTTACAGAATTGAAATGAAGGCAAGAAACACTAAATGCTCTTGAAAATCCTCACATCTGAATGAGATAACTGCAAAGAATCTCAAGTAGAACTAAAGGCCTAATGTACCACCAACTGTAGACAGCTGCACAGAGAAACAAGCCCCACAGAAATCAAATCACTGCTTCCTCATGCCTATTAGAAAGCCCTTTTTCAAGGACTTCAAAAGTAAAGTTGAAGGATATCAGCTTTATCTGGTGTAACATACTAGGAGTAAACATACTACTTCATCCTCTTTTGATCTCGTAAGCTGGATGAAGAATTGGGCCAGGATGCCCAAAGATAGGATTTTCACACACCCTTTTTCCTGGCACCTGAAATCTTCTCCAGAGCTTTTAAAACTGCCCAGAATACCAAGGCAGTGAAAATCAAATTGACAAATTGAACCTTTTTTCCTGAGATCAGGAATCAAGTATGCCACTATCTGGTCCAAAGGCATACAGAGAGAGTCCTATCTAAATGCATTTGTCAGATTAAACTAGTACTTCCAATTTAGAGAACAGAAGCGTAGTTTGGAATCCCATTTGCAATGTGGCTATTAGTGATGTTTTTGCAGAAAAATAAGTTTATAGGAAAGACAGTAATGCCTTTGGCAATAAGCATTCATTGAATCGTGAAAATTCAGCCTTTGAACTTTTTACCACTGATGGGGCAAGTTCTATCACCAAGCAAGATATAACCACTATTGCCTGAGAACGAAGAAATAGAAGCATCAGCATCACTGGCCTGACTTGTTGAGGACTGTCCATATAAATGCATGAACTATAAAAGATACTAGTTATAATTAAAAGCCAGCTACTAAAGCTGTTTCTATTACAGGAAACTGAAGTAGGGCAAGAGGAGGGTGATGTCCTAGTCATGTATGAAGACAGGCAACTGAGACACTCAGAAGCTGTCCATCTTTGTCTACGGGCCTGTCTCTAGGAGATCTGTTATAGCATCTCAGATGTATCTCAAGCCCAAACTTCCTTCCATTGTAATAAACACAGGATCCAAACCACTGCCTCAAAGAGAAACTTAGCCTTTATTGTGCAAAACGATATATCCTAAAGTACAGGCAGTCTTTGACTTGCAACCACAATTGAGACCACAAGAACCAGTTGTAGGTCACTTTTTTTTTCAGTGCTGTTGTAATTTTGAACAGTTACTAAACAAATGGATGTAAATCAAAGAGTACCTATAATTTTGTTATCAGTGCTAAGTTTGCTCAAAATATTATATTCAAAGGAAAAATTAATTTTGAATTAAATTTAAGCTTGGCCATTTATACTATACGGTGATTAGTATTCAGCTTTATGGATAGGCATCACTTTAAGGCTCCCCGAAATGCCAAAATCATATTTATGATTATGATACTGGAAACAAAGAGGCAGCATGTTCCGTTCAATTTTTATTAATTTTTTTCCACTCATTTTGTGTTATCTTTTTTTCACTATGCATTTTATCTTCAGCTGAATAGACTGCTATAGGACAAGTGCCAAATGACATATATAAGTGAAATATTAAATTTCAAAATACATCAGAGGGACAAAAGTATTTGGAAAAATAATGTTAGCCAATAAAAAGTATTAACATTCATCTATCAGTAAAACGGATGCTTCAGAAGTCGTATTTATCCCCTATTATCTTGGTGTTTAGAAGCTCTGTAAACTGCATCTCTTTCACCAGGCTTTTAACTGTTACATGATTAGGGTTTTTCTTTTTTCTTTATCCCTTTCCTTTTTTTATTTAATTTTGTTGTTATTGTTAGAAGCCAGATCCTCACAGAGCAAAAAAGGGATATGTATGCAGTTATACATATATACATGTACACACACACATAAAACAATTATTAGTCTCATTAAATTTCAGATTAGAACAAACCAACTCTAGAATTTTGGCCATGTTTCAGTGTTATGTCACATGAACGATACTGTAGACCAGACATATCAAATTTGCAACGTCACATGACGTCGCACAACATATCGGGCCGGTTTTGCCATTGCCAGCAATGGGGTGGGTGTGGCTTCCGGATGACGCGTCCGGCCTGTGGGCCAGCAGTTTGACACCCCTGCTGTAGACCCAGCAAAGCTTCTGGGTTATCTCTTTTACAACACAGCTCAAAAAAGGGTGTGAGCAGGATCCAGTTTCTACAACTTCTAATTTATTATAGGCTACAATCAGACAATTCAGTTTTCTACACATCAGGCAATTCAATTTAAAGTAAACGCTAATTGGACTGCAAAACCTAGCTTGGTTTACTAACCAGAGCTTGCTTTAATGAATGTTCTCTGGCTTGTATGTAATCGCAAGGCACAAACCACAGTAACTGAATCCTCCTTCTGACGGTGTAAAAAGACAGAAAGGAAAGCATGAAAGACTTAGGCTTCATTCAGCCTCAAAGAAGTTCTTCCAGATGGCGCTAAATCCTGATTTACCATTATATTGAATCAAACTTTTATCTTCGTGTGATCCTTCACCTCAGCGTAAGCAGACTTCATTCACAAAGTGAGGGCATAAAACAAAAGTGCAGTAAGGTTCATGAAAAATTTTAGATCTCGTTAAACCAATACTGTGATTACCAATGCTAATTTTACACTGTAGCTTTCTAATGCTGTACTGTAAATGAATCTCACAACAAAAACATAGGGAGAATCTGAATGGACTTAAGACTAAGGATTAGCATAATCAATCTTTCAAGCATTTTCATGGCTTTCTTTGTCAATTGCCAGTAATGGGTGATTAATTACTAATCAAGTATATCTAATTCCAATCTCTAATTGCCTATTTGTGTACTTAATTGCTATGATTTTTCACTTGGTCATCAGAGGAGAAATCAGTATTTTTACTGCTAACGTTTCCCCAGGATTCTTATCTTGCCCACATTCTAAGAGATACCTTAATAAAGTCTTGATTGCATTTGGTATAAAATGCTGCATTTGTATTTTGGTTCTATGCGATACAACTGGAAATACAAATCGGATGATTGCCAAAACTTACCATTGTTCCGTCACTCTTATTTCGGGCAACTTCCTGCTGTAGCCGGGCCACAGACAACTTTTCCCTATGGAAAGAAGGGAAGAGTAAACAGCTGCTCATTTTGCACTCATCATTAAGGATAGCATTTTTATATCACTGTGGAATTTATGATTTATCAGTCATATGCCCCAGCACAATTTAGTTTCTCAGCCATATTTTCAATAATTCTAATACTACCAGAATTCTTTGTTTAAGGGACTGAATGATATTTAAGGCAGGCCTGCATAACACATGCAGCATTATGCAGCCCACTGACCTTTTTTTAAAAAGTAATTTTTAAAAAGGTAATTTACTGTTGCCACTATCCCCCAAAATGTGATGACAAGCATCTCCAAGACTTATTATAATTGAGAGTCTCAGTGCTACTTCCCTCTTCTAGCCCCCAAACAGCTCATAGCACAGTGATGGCGAACCTGTGGCACGTGTGCCAGAGGTGTCACTCAGAGCCCTCTCTGTGGGCACGCGCACCGTTGCCCCAGCAAAGTTCACCAGAGTAGCAAGCACATGGTGTTTGGAAGCAACAGGGCAGGAAGTATGCGAGCAAGCGGCATTGGCCCCCTGGGGATGCCCCGGAGAGGGCAAGGGACTGGCCCCAACCACGTTCACCCAGTCTGCCATGACCACTGCAGCCACGCCCATCCAGTGGGCCACGTTCCCCCCCTCCTGAGGGCACCACAATGCTGATGCAGCCCTGGCACTTTGCGATAAATAAGTGGGTTTGGGATTGCAGTTTGAGCACTCGATCTCTAAAAGGTTTCCCATCACTGTCATAGCATGTCAGATATTTCTTTGTAGCCTGTGAGGACTTTTAATTCATTAGTGTGGTCCTTTCCCACTACAAGTTGAGCAGGCCAGGTCTCAGCACTACATGTGCAAAATGCCACAACCAGTTTGGGTTCTATCTAGTGCTTAAAGAAGCACGTTTTTCTTTACATAGATTGTATTCTACAGCAAAATCACACATTTCTTCTTTTAACTTGTGTTGCAAGATTAAAAGTGATCTTTAGCTTCTTGTAAAAAAAAAATCCAGTTCTAATAAAACTGATTTCTCACAACTGAAAATCTAAACTAAATTAAACAGAGATTCATAGCAAATTCCATAAGCAAAACACACCTGATTAAATGACTATTAATTAAATGACGTTATTAATGAATCATGAATCACAGCGCATGGCAAATACTATTTATATGAGAAGCACTCACCAATTACATGGATCTGGTAAGCAAGAGGTGGAATGATATGTAGGAATTCCTTAGGACAGGGGTCCCCAACCTCAAGTCCGTGGACCGGTACCGGGCTGCAGCATGCCAGAAACCAGTCCTCACAAACAAGCAAAGCCCCATCCATGAGATGCAGGCAGCAAACAAAACCACGCTCCCTCTGCTCCGCAGAAAAACCTTTCTCCACGGAACCGGTCCCTGGTGCTCAAAAGGTTGGGGACCTCTGCCTTAGGAGACGGGGGAAGATTCACAGACTACACAATGGTCAAAGAAGAGGCAGCTAAGGCCAGAGAAGGAATGGGGGAGCGACAAATGTCTTATAATGGACCCTCCTTAGTTTCTTGGACAGTAAAGGTGAGTAGAGATGTACTTTCAAACTTGCAAAATTTTGTTAATGTAACCTTACAATAAAGATAGAATTAGTGCTTCTAGACTGACATCAGGAGAGTACATTAACATTATCCTTCATTAATCTACTTCCTACATGTTCTTTGGTGCTTATATTATGCATGATCCCTGACCATATACACATACAATAATACAGCAATTGCTCATGTGAATTACGCTAGGATTCTTGAACTTTCTCAGCTATCTGTTTAAATAGGACCATGCAAAATAGCATAGTCCTTTACACCTTTTGGGCACCTTAAGATAAAAGAAAAAAAATAAGCATGTAAAGACCAATATTTGTTCCATATTGATGGGTGATTAATATTATATTCAACACATGTCAGCCTATAAAGTTCCTATTCGTAAGGCAAGATTAAAACCTTCTAATTTTTAATTATTATTTTTTAGGAATATTGGAACACTCTAAGAAGGATGAAATGTTTTACATACTTAAATGTGACTGAATTCAAGAAAAGCACGTATGTATGTATGTATGTATGTATGTATGTATGTGTGTGTGTATATATATATATATATATATACACACACACATACATATATATATATATATATATATATATATATATATATATATATATATTCTGAGGTTTTCGCGGGTATTTGTATGTAGGTTTTTGGTTATTTGGGTTTTCTCCCGCGTAAAATTGGAAGTGTCTTGGCGACGTTTCGATGAAGTCCCATTCGTCATCTTCAGGCTGGTGTTTTCAGCTTCGTGCTTCGAGGAGCACGAAACTGAAAATACCAGCCTGAAGATGACAAATGGGACTTCGTCGAAACATCACCAAGACACTTCCAATTTTACGCGGGAGAAAACTCAAATAACCAAAGTTCGATCGATCTATCTATCATCTATCTATCTATCTATCTATCTATCTATCTATCTATCTATCTTGCTTTGAATTAGAGTTAAGGGATTAAATGACTAGATCTATTGAATAGAATGTCTAAAGATTAAATATATTCTTAACTATGATTAAAAAGAATAAGAAATTTGAGAAAATAAATACTATTAATCTAGGAGGGATATATATTCTAAGTACTATGTTATTTCTTATGTTCTGTTATTACTGCTTTCTTCTCTTCTTTTTTATTTTTTGTTTCTTTTTCATTCTTCTTCTTTTCCCCTTTCTTTTTACTCTTATATCCATTACTTAAGAAACATAAAAATGTGAGATGGCTTATATGGAAAAAATAGAATTAAGTCTGTCAATGTAAATGTAACTAATCGCTGAGAAAACTTTTACCAGTAAAAATATTTAGAATTTGGTGGGAGAAATAAACTAAAATAAGGATCGTAACAGGATCGATGATAAGGCAATCCAAATGAGTGAAAAGAAAAGAAATGTATTAATATGATGATTATTTTTAGGAATATTGGAAAAAATATATACTAAATTGTCATTTATTAAAACAATAAGAATTGTATTAACTCAATGTTTGCAAAAAAGGATGTTTCGGGGAAAGAGGAAATCAACCAAAATTAATATATAGAATACAGACTATAGAAATCAATTGTTAAGGAGTGTTTTTACAAATGTAACCCAGACAAAACACAGTTTACCAATTACTGAGTGACTTATGCTTGTGTAAAAAATTAATAAAAAATATAATACAAAAAAAATAAAACCTTCTAATTTTTAAGATAGACATTTGTCAAGTTCCCTCAAATCAAACTTTACTCTGAAATTCAGGAGCTCGGGATCAAAGGGCACATTCTGTTTCTTCCAAGCCAGGGAAACTCCTCTTGAAGCTTTTCTTGAAAATATTCTGCTCTCAGCACTGCTAATAGGAATCTCCATTTTTTAGAAAAGGATTCAGACAACACATGTCCTAATGACTCCCTAATCAGCGTGTTCCCTGCCAACTAGTCCCCCTGAGAAAAGCTGGCTTAAGTACAAGTGCAAAGACGATGACATCAAGGATCTTTTCAGAATCAATCTGACAGGAGGAGCAGCAGGCAGAAAGCCTGTGGAGCAAGAAAAAAGCCTTCTATAGGGAGATTTATGAGGATCAACAGGGTACCTTTTGATTGATCATCACTACGTGTGGAAAGTTAGTCTTCAGTTAGCCTCATTCTCATAATAGGCTGGAACCAAGTTAATAAATTTGCTTCTTACATATTTATTGCACATTTTCTCTAAGTCTGCAAGTTGTTTTTATTTTTTTAGGAATCCTAGTACGGTAAATTTTCATTCTACTTTTTTTCATAAAAGAATACAGTCCTTATATTATTAAGATTTTTCAATGGATGTTTTCCAATTATTATTTTAATTTAAGTTTATTTTTTATGAGGTAATATTCTGTTAGTCTTACCACTGCATATAATAAATACTGTGGAAACAGCTTTTCCATTTGCCAGGAGAATTTTTATATTTTTTACTTACTTTATTTTACTTTATTGTATAAACTATTTAGTAGCAGATTTCATCTTAAAAGTTTACTACCCAAAGGTTTTTGAACAATTTTGAGAAAAATCTGTAACCATTTATTTCTTTTGCTTGCTAACTGCTGATTTCTAAAGCATACAGCACTGTATCAATACAAATATACTAAAGACATTTCTTTCTATGTCCAATTTCAACTTCTAAAAATTTCCAGCTCAGAAAAAAATGCATGTTTTTTACAAATTATTTATAAATAAAATGCATGCTTTTCATCTCAAGTATTGACAATTTTTTTAGCCTTGTTAAACGTGTTTATACCTAAGTTTTAAAAAGTCAAGCTTGTTTGTTCTCTCATATCTAATAATTATTTTTGCACAGATTTCTAAAACAATGCTTTCCTTTTTATAAGTTCATGTCATTCTGTGTGATAACAGATAGTTAAGTACTATTTTATGTACCATAGTAATTAGGAAAACAGCAAGAAGGTCCTTTGGAATCTGGAGCCAATATGAATCTACACATCATGAAAACCAAAATTAAATATGATGTGTGAGAGAATGTACACAAGTCAAACTGAGTTGCTAAAGCTCCATCCTGTCAAAGAAAGCCATATTTTATTATGAAGTAAAACTCATTCATTCATTCACTCATATTCATTCATTCATTCATTCATTCATTAAATTTTTATAGTTGGCCATCTCACAATAAAGTGACTAGGCAGCTTACAGTAAAATCAATTATAAAATAAAAATGTTAAAACAGCTAAAATTAAAAGGAATGAACAATATTATTAATAACATGGTAGAGAAAATTGATGTTAAAAACAAAGCAACCGTTTTATCAAATCATTATTGCCTTGAGATCCCCAGGCCTGCTCACACAGCCATGTCTTAAGGGAAGAATGTCAAGGATGTGGTCTGTTCCACAGGAACAATGAGACAATATTCCAAGGTGGGTGCCATAGCAGAAAAAGTCCGTCTCCTGGGTCCCATCAGATGAAACTCATGGG